GAGTAGAGTGCTATGGCATCACAGCTTACAGCAACCTTCAACTCCTAGGCTCAAGTGAGTCTCCTGCCTCAGCTTCCCAAGTAGCTGGGACCACAGGCGCCCACCACAATGCCCGGCTATTTTTTAGTTGCAGCCGTCATTGTTGTTTTGGCAGGCCGGTTGGATTCAAATCCGCCACCTTATGGGTATGTGGCTGGCGCCTTAGCCACTGGAGCCACCGGCACCTAGCCTATCTTAATTTTTAAAAATGAAAATAATGGGCTCGGCGCCTGTGGCTCAAGCGGCTAAGGCGCCAGCCATGTACACCTAAGGTGGTGGGTTTGAATCCCCAGCCCGGGCAATCCAAACAACAATAATGGCTGCAACCAAAAAATAGCTGGGCATTTTGGTGGGCGCCTGTGGTCCCAGCTACCTGGAAGGCTGAGGCAGGAGACTCGCTTGAGCTCAGGAGTTGGAGATTGCTGTGAGCAGTGAAGCCATGGCACTCTACCCAGGGGGACAGCTTGAGGCTCTGTCTCAAAAAAAAAAGAAGTGGGTACTCGATGTGGGGGCACCATTAGCAGCACACAGCAAAGGTTCAGGGAAGCTCAGGGCTTTCTCAGCCCAGCCCTGCCATGTTAGGGCACATAGGTGGATGCTTCCCACTGGTCTGGACCCAGCGGTACCTGGCCACCAAGGGGCATCAGGCCCACTGCCCAGGGAAGGGTCACACAAGTCAGCAGAACAATTGCAGGCTCCACTGAGGCAGGGAGGGGCAGGGTTCATGGCACCCATTTCACAGACACAGGAGCCAAGGCCTCAGCTACCCTGGGAGGCTAAAGAGCACACATTAGACAAAATCTAGGCCCCTTCACTTAGGCATTCCTCTTGTAGTACCCTGTGGTTCCCATGTAGGCTCGGGGTTAATCAAGGCCTGTCATCATCAGGAATATCAAGGGCCCAGAGAGGCTGGGAAACCACCAGAGCCGCACAGCCAGAACAGGCACAGGCCTGAGTGAGAGCTTCTGTTCACACAAAGCCCCTCTCCAAAGCTACCCCTTAACCCCGGCCTCATCCACAAACCTCTCTGAGCATTACTGTGTGCTGCTCCTGAGAGGAGCCCACTTCCCCAGTCCTCTCCAAGCAGCTCATACAGCAGAAAATCCACCATCTATAGCAATGGTTCTCAACCTGTGGGTCACAACCCCTTTGAGGGTTGAATAACTATTTCACTGGGGTCACCTAAATACATCCTGCATATCAGATATTTACATTACAGTTAATAACAGTAGAAAAATTACAGTTATGAAGTAGCAATGAAAATAATTTTATGGTTGGGGTCACAACACGAGGAACTGTATTAAGGTTCGCAGCATTAAGAAGGTTGAGAACCATTGACCTATAGCATCTAGGAGGGAGCCACACCCCAAAGATAGTCTCAGAGTGAGTCCAGGAGCTGCCCAGGGCTCTGTTGGGAGGGGGAGTGGCTAGAGGAGCCCAGCCAGATGTCAAGCCATCAGTCCATAGCAGAGCAGGGTACATAGGCTGCTTAGAGAGGGGCCTACCTCGGACTCTGAAAAACATGTGATTTAGAAAGAAGAAGGTGGCCTTGGCTGGGGGCACGGCAAAGTCAAAAACATGGGGTCCAGATGAGGAGGAGCAGCTCAGAGGAAGGCTAGATAGGCCATTGTACCCACCCTAAGGTCTGAATGTGGGAGGGCTCTGGCCTGTGGGGTCACCCTAGCCCTGGATCACAGCTGCCACTGTCTCCCAAACCTGCCTAATTGGTGGCTGATGGGCCCTTTTTGTCCCTGTTTGTGGAGGACAGGGAAGCTGCTATTCATTTCTTCCTAATGCAATAGCAAGAGCATCTAGTTATCTGCTGTCCCTGCCGGAAGGATTACCACATGGTGCTGAGTGCCCAGCCCAGCTGGGACAGCCCTCCAGAGGGTGGTAATGATGTGGCCTATAGGGCCATTTGTTGGTGTCTCTTCCAGGGTCCAGATGGGAACCTGTTTTGTTTTGTTTTGTTTTCTGAAACAGACTCTCACTCTGTCACCTGGGTAGAGTGCTGTGGCATTATCGTAGCTCACAGCAACCTTGAACTCAGGCTTAAGCAATCCTCTTGCTTCTGCCTCCCACATAGCTGGGGCTTTAGGTGCCCCCCACAATTTTCTATTAGTTTTATTTTTAGTAGAGATAGGGTCTCGTTCTTGCTCAGGTTGGTCTTAAATTCCTAAGCTCAAGCAATCCACCTACCTCAGCCTCCCAGAATGCTGGGATCGTAGGTATGAGCCATCATGTTTGGCCTATTTTGGGGTCCCATATTTGTGAGTGCCCATAGAGCAGTTCAAGGTCCCTATGGAGCTCCATGTAGGCACCACAGTATAGGAGGTAGCTCAAACCCTTGTTCCATCTGAGGGAGTAAGCCAGGCCTGTGTTTGGGGTCATAGTGCTTCATCTGGGAGCTGGTCCTTGGGTATAGGATCAGTTTCACAGTGCCCCAGGGGGGCTCGCACCAGCCACGGGGCTCTGGATGGAAGCTGTAGGCACAGTGGTGGGGGGTCTGCTGGGCAGAGGGAGTCAATAGGCACCTGAGACAGGTAGGAGCCGTGAGCCAAGGGGGTGAGGAGCCAGGTTAGAGCAGGGGGTGTGCCTGGGGCTTTTCAAGGCTGTAAAGACACCAGCCCAGGTGACAGAGGGCAGCCTGGGGAGCAGGGGCAGATGGGCAGGTCCTGGCAGTGGGTGGGACCACAGAGGAGGAGGAGGCAGCTGGACCACCTCAGTGAACAACACTGTCCTGACTGGACAGAGGAGGAACACACTGGCTTGTGGCTGTAATACCCTAGTGGGTGTGGCCCAGGAGGTACATGCTGAGGCCTGGCACTCAGAGCAGAGGCTGCCAGAAAGGCAGCACCGGGGAGGCTCCAGTGGAGGGAAGGAAGCAGGGAGAACATACTTACCTGAGCAGGATGAGGAAGCTACCAGGGGCCAAGGAAGCAGGAGGGTGGGAGCAGACTTAGGAGAGTGAGGCTGAGGCCAGAGGAGCACATCTCCCTGTCCAGCTGACCCACCCCAGGATCCCTACCCTGACTTGGCTGGGAAAAGTACCATTAGCCTGAACCCAGCCCCACTCTGTGCCCCACACCTTGAGCTCTGGAGAGGGCATGTAGGAAGGTCCAAGCCTCAGTCTGTCCAAAGCAAATCTGTACAGGCAGAGGAGCCTGGGCCACGCTCATGGAGGATGGGCCACCGGGTGCCACCAGCTGAGTGGTCAAGTCCTGAGAAGCTTCTGGGTGGTTGGAAAAATAAGTTGGGCAACCCAACCACTGAGGGCCCCAAAACCCCATACACAGTGCCCTTGTCACAGACAGGGTGGGGCTGGATGGAGCCAGGCTGTGGTGGAGGAGGATATGGAGGTCCAGGTTACACCCGTGCTCCTTTCCCTCCCCGATCTGTCACCTGTTGTCTCTGGTCCTGCCTTGACTGCACTAGCTGTTTCCTGCTGCTGCCCCACCCACCCTGCTGAGCTGAGGGCTACCCAGGTTGGGGGCAGGTGTGCCTGGTCAGAGAGGGCAGCTGGGGCTGAGCTGCCCCCTGTCTGCCTTTGGGGGACCCGCCTCTTTTATTTTCTCCTGTCTCTTCCTTCCTGCCTGTCCTCTGTCTCGCACCTCCTCTCACCTTGCTCTTCTACGCCCTTCCTGCACGCGCCACCCGCCAGCCCACCGACGAGAGGAGCTGGGTGTACTCCCCACTCCACTATAGTGCACAGGCCCACCAGGCCTCCGACGGCGAGAGTGACACAGTAAGTGTGGCCCGGGGTCGAGGCCTGAGAGAGTGTAGTCCCCCAGACACTCAGGGACAGGTGGGGAAACTGAGGCTGGGGTGGTGGGGATGGGAGGCCCAGAGCCCTACCCTGGGGTCTGATTTGGAGGTGGCCATAGGATGAGGATCTCAGGGCCTGTCAGAATACATGGTTCCTGGCAGAAGGCCCAATGGGTGACCTGGGGGCAGTCCTAACTGGTGCCCACATACACCTTACCCACTCTTCTCACCTCTTTCAGTAAATCCTATGCAGTCCCTAACCTGGCCGCTCCCTGGAGGCACTGCCCACCCAGCTGAGGCCCAGAGCTTGGGGAGACCCCACCGGACCTGCCCACCCACCTGGCCTGACTTCATCCTCCCCTGATGGATGCTGCCAGCCAAGCCCTCCCCACCCTGACAGCTCTGGGCCAACAAGCCTCTCAGGCCACAGTGCCCATCAACTACCTGCACCTGGGAGACTGGGACCTTCCTGAGCATCAAATCATATATTTATTTTGGGTCCTTAAATCTTTGCACAGGGACAGAAGCACGTATGTGCTTTTTAAGGAAAAAAACCAAGACACAAAAACAAACAGAAAAAGAAGAAGCTTCGTTCCACTGCACTTTTTGGTTCTTGCTGTGCTTGCATGGGTCTCTCGGGGGAAACAAGGATATTCCTGCCACGTTTGGGGATCTGTACCCCATGTCCTGGTCACCCTGGCCAACGACCACACTCCTAGTCTCAGCTCGTGACTTGCAGAGGGGACAGCAGGGTCCATCACTTACTGGGGTTCCTCAGAGAACAGAGGCCACCTCCTTGCCCAGAAGCAGATCCTCCCTCCCTCAGCTCAGGTTTGGGGGCCATGGTGCAGGACCTCTGCTCTTAGCAGTGGCCTTGGGGACAGCTCTTACCCGGAGTCCTCAGCATCTGTGTTCCTGACATTCAGGCCTCCTGCCTCCTCATGAGTGAGAATCTCTGGATGCCCACGATCCAGATACATACGGGGGCCTGCTGCCAAGCAGCAGCCAGCCACTCCCACAGAGCTCAGGGCTGGGGGCATGTCCCCCTCCCAGTGTGAACCATGCAGCATCCAACAAAGACATTCCAGAGACATGAGACGCCCCTTCAAAGCAAGAGACGGGCAGAAGGCTGAACCAGGCCACAAGGCTTCCAGAGAGAACTTATGTCATAGAGATGGACTGGGGGCTGATGGGTAGGCCAGCCTTGACACATGGCAGCCACACCTGGCCTTGTCCTAAGGCACAGTCTAGAGAGGCAGATTCCTCTGCCCTAAGTGTTGCCTTCTGGACCAGGGTGGGCATCAAGTTTTAAATGATGTCATTCCTGTGTGTATCAAAGTTTGAGAGAAGACATTGTTTTGGGCTTGCCACCCTCAGCTGAGGTAGTGGCACCTGCCTAGAGAAGCCATCCAGCCCAGAGCCCAACAGGGCAGCCACCGGGGTCCCTGCTATGTCCAAAAAGCACTGGCTAGAGCCAAAAGCCTGGCAGAGTGACACCCCCCACCCCCCCAGCCGATGGACCCTCACCCTGCCTGTTACATGAGTCTCCAGAGACAGGACATGTTGGTGACAGTTCCCTGCCTCTCTTCTAGTCTGCCAGCAGCACAGCCTAGGATGGGGAGAAGTTAGGGGCAGGCTTGGAGCAGAAGTTGCACCTTCTAGGAGAATTTTTCTCTAGTCCTTGCTTCCCTGGCAGAGCCTGATGTGAGACTGAGACAGCTAGACAAACACAGGGATTTGATTTGTTTTGAATCTCTTGCAAGCTCCTGTGATGATACTGCCACGTCCTGCTGTTCAGGTGGCACTGGCTAGAGCCATCCCCTCCCCCAGCCTGTGCCTGCCTGAGCTATGGAGAACCAGGCTGTATTCCCTGGGGCTTTCTCCCCAGCAGGGACAAACACTCCACTCAAGCAGTTCTTCAAGTTTCAGCCCAGAAAAGGGAACAGTCTCCAGCAGGAACCAGCCACCAGTGTGACTCAGAAGAAAAGCCCGTCTGGGGTCCTTGCCTCCTGCCTGTAAAGGTCTGTCCAGCCCTGGAAAGTCTCAGCCTCAAGTCAGAGCCGAGTGCCCATCTGCTGGTGCCCAGCATCCCTGTTCATCCCAGCAGACCCCTGGGGGAGACAGGGCAGGAGTCAGAAGGGGCATCCAGGACCTGGATGACCAACAGGGATGGCAGCATCACCTCATGGGCACCTAAGACCCCCTGCAGCTGTGGGGATGACCTAGAGCAACAAACACATTCCCAGACATTTGGGCTATGTCCAGGGTGGCTCCCTTGGCTCTGCTGAGTGGTTTCCAGGACACAGGAGTCTTTGTCATTTGCTTACCTGCAGGAGAAATTTGCAAATCTCCGTAGACATCACATTTCTGTTGTGTTAAGTCTCCAAGACCCTGTTGGAGACACATTTTGTGTTGGCTGCATTATCTTGTTCCTTGCCAAAAAACTGTAAAAGGATGCTGACGTGTTCCACAGACTGTGAGGGGGAGCATTTGTTTATTATTTTCAGGCAGGGGGCAGGAAGGCAAGACCTATTTATAATGTTTATTGAACTTATGGCCTTCCTCAGACCCCCAGTGAGGAAGGGCCCTGGACCCACCCAGCTGTCCCCCAACCTTGGGAATCTGTAAATAACTAGGTGGCTGAGGCCCACCATCCTTCCTGACCTGTGTCTCATAGCTGCTGCCGCTGAGAACATGGACAGTGTCCAAATTCTTGTACTGTAAGGACAAAAGGCATTTTCTCTGAGACTGACAAGGTGGAAACTTCCATGTGCCCCACCCCATCCCCAAAGCCATCCCAACATGTCCCTTGTCCTCCCCCCCACACCTGGCTCAGTGCAATACTCCTGTCCCTGTGGGATCCCTTGCCATGGTACTGTCACCACAGCCCCTCTGTCCCTGCCCCATGACAAGCGCCCTCAATCTCCTTTTCTCTGGTGGTTCAATCTCTCCACCTAACCCACCCTGATCCTGTTTTTATGACCGAACTGATTGCAGAAATAAACTGCAAACCTTGTGTGTCTTAACTCCCACTGGGATTCCACTCCATTCCTCTGCCCTGAGTTCTGGTCCGTGACAATCTGGAGTACCAAACCTCATGGCACAGGCAAAGGTGCCATGTTCCTCAAACCCAGAACTGAGGGCACCTCTGAAACAAGACAGCCTCTGCTGGCCCCAAATGACACTTGTATGCAGCCCATGCCCTGCCCCTCTATCTGCACCCTCCCTTTTTATGTTGAAGAGATCTCTAATAAATCGGGTATTAAGCATCATCCTAACTCTGTTTGCCTCTTTGGGTTCCAGTGGTCTGGTTGAGAGTTTGAGGACTGATTTTGAGTTTATGATAACTTATGAGATTTATCATAATAGTAATAGGACCCAAACAGCTTAACAGCTGTGGCCCACTTTGGGTTCCACTTCAGATTGGAAAGCATTTCAAAGCTGCTGACAACAGTACAGCCCAGCACAAAGGAAGAGACACTCCCCCAAATTGGTCATCTTTTGGCCAGAGTTGCTCAAATTGAGGGACGAATGGACCCCTGCTGAGGACAATATCCTTTCCAGGCTCCCAATTTGAAAAACTGCATTGAAAGATCCTGTCAATAAGGCAGCCTTAACCTAGAGACAGGTGCAGTTATACAGTTCTTAACATACAGACAGATGTAGAAATGGCATGGCGTTTTTTTGTTTTTTGTTTTTTTGAGACAGAGCCTCAAGCTTTCTCCCTGGGTAGAGTGTTGTGGCATCATAGCTCACAGCAACCTCCAACACCTGGGCTTGAGTGAGTCTCCTGCCTCAGCCTCCCAAGTAGCTGGGACCACAGGCACCCGCCACAACACCCAGGCTATTTTTTGGTTGCAGCCGTCATTGTGTTTGTCGGGCCCGGCTGGATTCACACCCGCCACCCTAGGTGTATGTGGCTGGCGCCTTAGCCACAGGCGCCGAGGCTTTTTGTTTGTTTTTTGAGACAGAGTCTCACTATGTCGCCCTGAGTTTACAGTGCCATGGCATCACTGCTCACAGCAACCTCAAACTCTTGGATTTAATCAGTTCTCTTACCTCAGCCTCCCAAGTAGATGGGACTATAGGCGCCTGCCACAACACCTGGCTATTTTTTGGTTGTAGTTGTCATTGTTGTTTGGCAGGCCCGGGCTGGATTCAAACTTGCCAGCTCCAGTGTACGTGGCTGGTGCCCTAGCCACTGAGCTACAGGTGCTGAGCTGGCAGGGCAGTTTTTAACTGAACGTGCAGATGATTTCAAATACCTTTTCAGATACTTGCAGGGATATATCTGAATTTTGAAAAACATGTGCCCAGGCCCTTCTGTTCTGGGCTATCCCATCACCATGAGAGCTTACCTCCCAGGACCAGACACAGGGTAGGGTCATTACCTATGGGTCAGGGAAGTTTCCCTCTTCACCTTCACACCAAGCAGAGCATACAAGGCCAGCATTTAGGGGAGGCATTGTAAAGTTGCATTTTGAAGGTAAACATTTTCATTTTTTGTTTTACCTTCTTTTTAAGAGTCATTTTGTCACCCTTGGTAGAATGCCATGGCATCATAGCTCACAACAACCTCAAACTTTTGGGCTCAAGTGATTTTCTTGCGTAAGCCTCCTGAGTATAGCTGGGACTAGAGGTGCCAGCCACACGCCTGGCTATTTTTTAGAGGTGGGGTCTCGCACTTTCTCAGGCTGGTCTCCAACCTGTGAGCTCAGGCAATCCCAGAGTGCTAGGATTACAGGTGTGAGCCACTGCACCTGGCCTACTGAAAGTGAATATTTTTTTTTTTGAGACAGAGCCTCAAGCTGTCCCCCTGGG